TTTAAATTGTGGGCCCTGAATCTATCATCTATTAAACATTAACTTTTTGAATGGAATTATGGAAGTTAAAAAACTTTTCCATGATATTCTAATTTTTTCGGATCAAAAGTACCAGCAGGATTCAAGGCTGACAAGAAATAACAGTCTGGCTGAAAATATCAACAGTTGTGGCTTTTCTGAATCTGACTCCCCCGTTTGGCCTCGAAGCAGACCCACTTATCAAATTTCTCCAGGGATATGTGTAAACTAAGAAAGCTCTGTTTATTGCAACCCCCCGCCCCCACAAAAACTTCTGTGAATGCCTATCAGAGCTGTATCGGCTGACACCAACATCTTATCAGGACTATGGTCTATCTGGAAATGCTTCATGGACAAATCTCACTGTCTTGATGTCAAATGCATGTAATGTGTCTATAAATGTGCTGCTGGTAGAGTTTTTCATGTCTTACATCGTGTCCTGATGAGGACAAGATGTGAAGAGATCTTTTTGTAACACCACTATCCTCTCCTCGTGGCCTTATCCCCTTTTCTATCTACAAAGCATAAGGAGCCGTGCTCTTAGGAGCAGCAGCAACGTGCACTCCGCCCTTCTTTCAGACGACTGTACAAACAATCTCACTGTATTTCAGTACAATGATAATAAAGCTTATTCTGAGTCTGCTGTACATCTACAACTGATTAACTGTCTACCGGTAATTCAGTTTAGTTCAAAATCAAAGTATCTCGTGACATCATCCATAAAGTTACTTAAGGTTTGACCAAACTGAGAGAACTCTGTCATTTCTCAGCATAAGATGATCCAAAACCCTGGGATAAACAGGTGGTTTGTATTTTTCAGCTGAGAACCTTCTGAATGTCTTACATCCATTCTTTTTCAACATGTTGAGATGATCATCAAAATGAAAATAGTCCATGCTCAATAATCCAGCTACACAATGCAACAGTTTAAACTGTTGGATCATCAAAATGGCTTTCCTGTATATATCTTGTGCCGTGTCTATAAAGTGGCAGTCTGAACAACAAAAACACGTCACATCTGTGAACATGTGTCCCTTGGTCTCGGTGGGAGGCAGTGTGAGCTGATCTTACTTGCTGATATGAGCAGTGAGCTGCTGGATCTCTGCGAGGAGCTGGACCTGTGCAGGATCGTGGCACTGCTCTTTACCGGGCCTCTGTTTGCGCAGAGCCATTCGGGTCTGGGCCAGACTCAGGAAATGTTCATGCTCTGTGATGGCTGCTTGGAGATCCTCGCTGATCGTCTGCTGGCTGTTAATCTCAGTCAAAATCTAGAAGAAATGCAGATTTCACACTAGAGTCACCAAATCGTGTGTACCTACTGGAACCTGACCCACACTAACAGTGTGCAACGATACAAACAGCAAATGTGAGTCAAAATGTTCATAAAGCACATTTAAAACATCAGCTGTTGCCAAAGTGCTTAACAATAAGATCAAGGCAGTAACTGAAGGAAAAATAACAAGATGTCATTAAAAGCATGAAAATAAAAACATAACACAAAACAATGAAACACTGAATCAGATCCCACATCAGTGAAAGCAGGTGTGTTTTAAGGAGAGATGTAAAAACAGGAAGTGAAGTGACCTGTCTAATGTTGGAGGCAGGTTGTTCCAGAGCTTTGGGCCCACGGCTGAAAAAGCCTGAGCTCTGAGCTTCATCCAAAAGCTGCTGGTCAGATGATCTCAGAGCCCCAGAAGGAACATATGGTTGAAGTAAGTCAGAGAGGAATGAGGGTGCAAGGCCATTTGGCACTTTAAGGTCTATCATCCATCATCCATTATCTTCCGTTTGTTCCAAAGTCATGTTGCGGGGGCAGCAGCTTGATCAGGGAGGTCCACACATCTCTTTCCACAGCCTCCTCTTCTGGGAGGATTCCAAGGCGTTCCCAGGCCATTCGAAAGAATAGTATCTCCAGCGTGTCCTGGGTCGTCCCCAGGGTCTCCTCCCAGTTGGACATGCCTGAAGCACCTCCCTAGGGAGGCACCCAGGAAGCACCTATACCAGATGCCCGAACAACCTGAACTGGCTCCTCTGGATGTGGAGGAGCAGCGGTTCTACTCCGAGTCTCTCCTGATAACTGAATGTCTCACCCTGTCTCTGAGGGAGAGTCCAGCTCCTGCAGAGGAAACTCATTTCAACCTCCTGGATCCGTGATCTTGTTCTTTCAGTCACTGCTCAGAGGTCATGACCAGAGGGGAGGGTAGAAATGGAGATGAACGTAGACTCCAGTTTAAGGTCAACAGGAGAATTGTAAAGTCTATTCTGATACGTACAGGGAGGCAGTGAAGGGAGGACAGAACTGGTGAAATATGGTCAAACCTACAAGTTCCTGTTAAGAGCTGAGCTGCAGCATTTTGGACGAGCTGGACACGTGAAGTGGAGACCTGACTGACCCCAACATGAAGCGAGTTACAGTAGTCAGCTGGGTTGAAATGAAACATGGACTATTCTTTCATGCTCACATCTGGACAGCGTGACTTAAGCTGAGCTCTCTGTCCTAACTGGAAGAAGCTTTTACTCACAGCTTCTTCTATGTCAAACTAAGATTGATGTTGGTTTAACTCCACAGTTGAAACGTTTTTCACTTCATCACCTTTTCCACTTTTTTGTGATATGTAGAAGTAAACAACAAGCCCACACTGTTCACTGGCACCCATACACATGTTCACCTAAATGTATGTAATAAAAAGAACACTTGTAGTTAACAATAACGTCTGATAAAACGATCTTTGCCTTTCCTCTCCTGTTTCCTGCTGCAACATTGATTTAGTTCATGCTAGCAGATGTCCAAAACTCAAGAGTGTTGAATGGAACTGATGTTTAGACCTTTCATTTAAAGCTGCCATGATATGGCTGCAGGCGTCTTCTGCATACACAGATCTAATTGTTTTAGTAAATCATGCAAGAATGATAATCCAGGCTTGACAAAACTTTACTTATCTTGGGGGGAGGAATTCATATATCATGACATTCTAGAAGCAATAAGTCTACTGTCTCCTGAACTGGAGAAGAAAATGGCCACAAATAAACTTGGCTCAGCATGGGCTAGTATGAAAACTATTGCAGGCCTTCAGAAGCCACAAGACACCGTGTCACTATAGATGGTTTTAATTCAGACTTTGAACTGGCAAACGCTCTAACATCACCTCCAAGATGTTCAAAAAGACTCAGTGTGTAAAAGTGAGCAAAAGTCATGGACCTGATAACGTTTGTGGTCGTTCTGTAAAATTGTGTGCCATTGAGCTGAGTCCTGTTTTTCATTATATTTATAACAAGTCTCTGCAAACACAACATGTCCCTAACATCTGGAAAGATGCTGTTGTGGTTCCCTAAATGCAATCGTCCCAAAGCTGTTGGTGATGATTGGGGATGTCATGTCAGAGCAGCCAGCAGGTTCATTATAAAGTACGCAGGTGATTCTGTTATTGTCAGTCTGCTTGAAGCAAATGAAAGTGGCCATGGGCAGGTGACTGAAGATTCTGTTCAATGGTGCGAGGACTCTTTCCTCAAACTAAATATTGATAAGACAAAAGATATGATCATTGATTTTAGGAGGAAGCCTCACAAGCACCAAGTCACTTTAATCAAAAGCCAAACTATTGAGAGAGTGCACTCTTACAAATATCTTGGGACAGTCGTAGATGACGAATTAAACTTTGAAACCAATTTTGACAAAGTGTGTAAGAAGGCCCACCAGCGTTTATTTTGTCTAAGGAAACTGTCAATTTAATACTGACCGAACCATGAGGACCATGTTTTATTGAATCAGTTTTATCTTTCTCCTGGGTCTCATGGTTTGGTCAAGCAACGCTGAAAGAAGAGAGTTCCCTGCAGCAGGTTGTTAAGCTGTCGTCCGCTGATCGGAGGAATCATCCCGGTACATTAGCCAGGTACAGCGGGCAGCTTCTTCTGTTATAAAAGATGTTTTTCACCCCCTTCACAGAGTTTCAGTTTCTTCCCTCCGGTCGGAGGTTTTTAGTTCCTAAATGTAGAACAAGACGTTTTAAAAATAGCTTTGTTCCTGCTGCTGTTATTGAAGTGAACAAACTGAACTGAGTTCTCAGTGTTTTAACAGATTTTATCTAATGATAAATTAACATTTTAATATATGTTTTATACTAAAGTTTTACTCTCCTCTTTTATGTCCTACTTTGCTTTGAATATGAGCTGTGGAGCCTTGAGCACTGTTATCTGAAAGGTTTATTTGAGGTGTTCTTGTGTGTGTGCATGGATGTATGCCCTGTACCACAAACCAAATCTACCCCTGGCTGTAAATAAAGTAACCTAACCATCTATCCTCTAGGAATTAAATCAGTGTTTCCTTTGGCATTTATCTTCTGGTCTAGTGTCTCTTCACAGCTCTGCCAGTAATAAACCACACACCTTGGCCAGTTTCTCGTCCATCTGATCTTTAGCAAACTTGATCTGCTCAATGTTCAGCTGAATGGCTGCTGTCGTAGCCTGAAACTGCTTCTGCATGTCAGCGGCCGTCTGCTGCAGCACGGACTCTACCAAGGTCCTCAGGGACACAGAGTTGTTCTTCTGCTGCTCCGCCTTGGTAATGTTGAAGTCTGACATGTTCTCCCACTGCTTGGGAGTGACTGTGATGCTGGGAGATAAACAAAAACAGCCATGAACACTCAGAACAAACACGTGTTCATTCATTTCACTCAAGTTTTGTAGCAAAACTTGAAGATAAAAATATCAGCAGATTTGAACTTGTCGTGGACGTGACACCTGAGTGGGGGGAGCATCTGGATGCTTCTGGATAAAGCTTGTTCCTCGTGTCTGTTATACACTCTGATAAAGATCTGGAGTTTAGAGACCAAATCAACACGTTTGTCATGTATAATGTTGGTTTTGGCACATTTCAAGGATTCAAGGTTCTTTATTTGTCATAAGCACAGCATGTGGTACATGTGGTGGAACAAAAGTGTGTACGCAGGGTCCCAGTTACATCCAACAAAAGTATAAAATGTAAAAGAAAACAGTAATAAGATCTAAGATATGAACTATGGAAAACATTAACTAGTTAAAAAACGTTAAAGCTGAGGGAACTGTTCTTTGAAGCACCTGGTGTACAGCACAGTTTGCATCGTTACATTTATAAGCTCTCGGGTGCTCTTACATCTTAGATCTTTTGATGAGAAGAGATGGAGCTTTGGCTGTTTTGGTTGAACTGTGTAAATTAAATGATCTGTAACCTCGTGCAAAACTGTGAGTTCTCACAAGGTCAGCTGTGTTCAGAGATACGTTTTGTGAATGACTCAGTTATTGCCACACTACATTTTCACCCAGCATCTATAAAATAGGCCCAGTTACAGCCATTTCTATACTGGACACTGTCACTTGGCAGCCATCTTGAATGATGTTGACTCCAACAGTTACAGAGCTGTAAATCAAATTATTACTTTCTGAGACCGTCAATAAAAATTCTCCTGCGTTTCATGGGATGGGATATTTTTTGCTAAAAGCATATTGTGTTGACTCTAACAGTTACGGTCAACATGTTAAGCAAAGATGTTGCACAATGTGTAACACTCAGCTTCTGTGTTGGGAACAACTCTCAGCTGACACCACACCAAACTTTAGCTCAGCATCTATGAAAGAAGCTAGTTTACAGCCCGTCCTGTGCAGGTCAGAGCCACTTAGCTGTGGTGGCCATCTTGAATTGGGACGTCTCCAAAAGATATTCAGTTGTAGTTGTACATCTATTAATTATTTTTTAAGTTTAATTAAAATGTGTTCAGTGCTTCGTGGGATGTAGTGCAAAGAGACTGAATGAACTGACTCCAATACAAAATATTAATTAGTTAATGGGAAACTTTTAAGAACACATGTTGCGAGATGTGTCAGATCTTGCAAATGTTGGAGACCAGTCTCGGCTGCTAACACCAAATTTTAGCTCAGTAACCGTAAAAGCCTTTTTTTGGTCACTTAGCTGTGGTGGCCATCTTGAATGGGTTTGATTGTAAAATAGAATTACTTGTAGATCCACTGGTTCATGAGATAACAGACATGAACAGACACATGCACACACTGTCACCGCTGCACCGTGGCTGCAGGTGATAATGGTCCCTAATACTGGGCTCCTAAAATACATTTAAACAAATATTTTGTGACTTTCTGGAGACAACAGGAAGATGATCGTTCACCTCGGCAGTGCAGTGCTGTTGTATTTGGACATCTGCTGGTTGCTGATTGAATGAACAGTCATTAAAGCGCAGGAGTTGTCAATGTTCTGAGCCACAAACTTCTCCTTCAGATCCTTTTCTAAATGATACTTAGCAGATCGATTGAGTCTGGAGGATAAAAACATTTGTCTTATTCCTGTTAAGCTGCACAATATCTGACAAGTGAATCTGAAGGTCCTAAAACAAATGTTGAAGGTGATTTCTTACCGGATCTGTTCAGTGATCTGCTCTGCCACCTGCTCCAGAAGAGGCACCACTCCCTCCATGACGTCCCTCTCTTTGAGCAGCCCCATGTTCACGTCGTCCTGCAGCCTCTCAGAGGGAACACGCTTCTTTCTACAAACCACACAACACGGAGGACATGAACATTTTAATTACGTTAACTAGTTACTGTCTTTCTCTGCAAAACGTACAACAGTTCTTTGATTCAGACATGGGAGACATTGTGGTAAATTTTGGAGAGTAAAAATAAACGTAACAAATGTCACATAAACAGTTTGATTCTGCAGGCATCATACTGCTAATAGTTTAAGAAACAAGTGTAAATTTAAACTTTATGCATCCAGTTATTGAAAACTAACAACTAACAAAATGTTCAGGCATACATGTATGCAAGTGCAAGAAATCTTGAACAGTTCCAGAAGTTTTTTAGGGATCTTTGTTGTCCATCAGCTTCACCTTTCATCCAGACAGAGAACGGTGACCCTCAGAGGCTCTTGGCACATCTCCAGGGCTTTCTTCACTCTGATTTGTAAAGCAACAAGAACATCCGTCTCCAGAATGATCTCTTCTAGCTTCAGTTCCAACTCCTTCTTCAGAAACTGGATATCTCTGACTCGCTGATCTGCACAGCACAGGGAATCAAATCATCTCAGCAATAGCTGCCAACTTCTCCCTTGGTACTAAACACTATCCACCCCCCACCTCCACTTACCAAGTTGCTTACTGTCCTCGTCCTGCATACGTTTGCAAGCCTTGTCAGATTCCTGAATCAGCCTCTTGCACTCTGCTCTGAAGAGCTCAGAGTGGTTCAGCGTGCCCTCCATGTTCACAAGATCAGGTCCTCCGAGCTGCTGGAGGCTGTAGTCCACGACAGACATGCTTTGTCTTGGACAGCAGGAAGGACAAAGTTGAATGAGACCGTGTGAGAAAACGTAGCTGCTCTTGGTTACATAGAAACAGAAACAAAACACACTAAAACATGGATGAGTGCTCTCTGGAAGATCCAGTCCCTTTGCCATGACCTGTTACATTTGTTGAAACTTTAAGGAAACACATCAGTTTCAAAACATTTAAAAATGATCCTGACTGTTATAAAGTTGACTGCATTTAACTAGACTGACTCTGTACAGTAACTTAATTCAGTTGATTCATATAGCTCCAGATCACAGCAAAGTTGTCTCAGGGACTTCACAGGAACATTCACAGAAAAGACAATTAGTAAAGTTCTCTGTCTAAGGAATCCAGCAGACAAGATGAATCTTCACTTCATCACAGTCTCATCCTGAGCGAGCACAAAGGAGACAGTGGAAAGAAAAACTCCCTTTAACAGGAAGAAACCTCCAGCAGAACCAGCTCAGGACAAGTGTCCATCTGCTTTGACCGGCTGGTTGAGAGGACAGGAAGGAGAGACAGACGAACACAGAATGGTAGGTCCAGGTATAGGTCCAGGTA